ATAGTTTTTTGAAGAAATATGAGAAACTTGACAATAAAACTGCGAATTCCGTAAGGATTGATAAAATCATTTGCCCTTGTTCCCTCCTAATAATTGGTAGGGTTTGTTTTTGTTAACTCAGAACATACGAATAGTAAGTACTGCTGAGATACTGACAGGTACAAACTCAACAAACTCTCAGCTTCATGAAAAGACAAATTATTTGAGAAATGACTTGCCAGGTGCCTTGCTTCTCCTCTAAATTCCTTCCTACTTTTGCTGTTTAGCAATTTCACTGAGTAAGAAACCTCCAGGGAAGGATAAGGCAAAGGGCAGGAACCAGAGATGCCACTATTTGTTTCTCTTTGGCAGTATTAATTAAAAGTTCTCCTGGTGAAGAAGACAGACTAATGGCTGAAAGGAAATGTGAGGACCAGCTGTAGACTTTAGTCACCGGTATAACAGACTATTAAGATCTGACCGCATCATCTTATTTTCTTCCTGGCATGTCATTATCCTTTTCATTAATCTGCTTACCTGTTTATTGTTTCTCTCTCCTCCCCGCCCCCACAGCATGTAAACTCCTTAAGAACAGGGATCCCACTTGTCTTGTTCACTGCTATATTGTTGCCATCTAGAACAGCCTGGCACATAACAGGTATTCAACAAAGAGCCAGCGTTGGGGTGGGGGGGCATACATAATCATTACTTAACTATCTCAGGCCCTGCACAATCACAAATACACTGAAATTATTTTTCACTGGAGACTACTCTTTACCTATAATGTATAATAATAATTCCACTACTGCCTTGCCACAAGATTCTATGCCTAAGTTTTACTATTTAAATATCATATTTGGATCTTGCTCTTGCCATGTGCTGTTGTTGGAGGACCCTCCCTGCTTCAGATTTACCCACAGCATGAATCAAGAAAAGTTAGCCAAACTTCAGGCTCAGGTCCGGATAGGGGACAAGGGTACAGCTCACAGAAAGAAGAAGGTGGTACATAGAACAGCTACAGCTGATGACAAAAAACTTCAGAGTTCTCTAAAAAACTGGCTGTGAATAATATAGCTGGTATTGAAGAGGTGAACATGATTAAAGATGATGGGACAGTTATTCATTTCAACAACATTTCAACAAAGTCCAAGCTTCCCTTTCTGCTAACACCTTTGCACTTACTGGTTATGCAGAAGCCAAACCAATCACAGAAATGCTTCCTGGAATATTAAGTCAGCTTGGTGCTGACAGCTTAACAAGTTTTAGGAAGTTAGCTGTACAGTTCCCTCGGTAAGTGTTGCATAGCAAAGCACCAAAACCAGAAGACACTGATGAAGAGGATGATGATGTTCCAGATCTCGTAGAAAATTTTGATGGGGCATCAAAGAATGAAGCTAACTAAAATTTTTTCTGGAGTTTGGAAGCTGGCATGGACTAGATTTAACAAATCAGCTATGTGGTTCCAAACTTTTACAGACATGGAGAACATCAACTGTTACTAGTTCAGTAATATAAATATTTTGTATATTAATAATGCTGTTTGTTCAGCATTTTTTGGTCATTTGATTTTGCATTTTGCACTTCCTCCCAGGATCTATTCTTTTGGTCAAAATATGACGTATCGGTGCAGTTTGAGGGTGTTTTGGTGTTTGATTCTCAGTTTTCTGTTTTGTTTTTTTGTTGGGGTATTTTTGGTGTGTGCATGTTTATGTATGTGTGTGGGTATGTGTGTATACAGTGGAGAGCAAATTGGAAAACAGTTCTATTATCCTCCTTCTTCCCCCAGTAGAAAATAAAACAAATCTTTACATTTGGAAAAAATAAAATAAATATCATATCTGTATCAAAATATAATAATTGTGATAAAACTATTACCTGACTAGTCTCAATTTCTGAGAACAAGAACTTTTATAATTCACTTTCATATCCCAAATATGTAGAATGGTACACAAGTACAGAGCAGATATTCAAATATGTGAACAAATGATTTTAAAAGAATTTTAACTGGGGCGCCTGGGTGGCTCAGTCGTTAAGCATCTGCCTTCGGCTCAGGTCATGATCCCAGGGTCCTGGGATCGAGCCCTGCATCGGGCTCCCCACTCGGCAGGAAGCCTGCTTCTCCCTCTCCCACTCCCCCTGCTTGTGTTCCTGCTCTTACTATCTCTGTCTCTGTCAAATAAATAAATAAAATCTGTAAAAAAAAAAAAAAAAAAAAGAATTTTAACTGGTGGCATTATTAGCCATTTTCTATTTTCTTTGCATAGTTTAGATTTCCTAAATTTTCTACACCTAGCATTCCTGTAATTAAAAAAAATACAGTGTTAGAAGAAAAAAGGAAACCACTGTACCCTTATGCCCCAATGTTCTTGATAATGTATGCAACAAGGCAAATCAAACAGATTTACTGTTTGCTTCCTAAGAGTTATCAGATAGAAAAATATTCTTTAAAAAAGAAATACTGTGATATTAAAAATGAATTCGAAATATTTTTAAGAACATTAAGCTTTATCTTCCAGAAAGATATCCTTTCATAAACCCTAGTATACTTCAAGAGTAATTTCTTTGTTTTTTATCTTTTTTATTTTATTTTTTTTAAGATTTTATTTATTTATTTGACAGAGAGAGACACCGCAAGAGAGGGAATACAAGCAGGGGGAGTGGGAGAGGGAGAAGCAGGCTTCCCGCCAAGCAGGGAGTCTGATGCAGCCCGATCCCAGGACCTGGAATCATGACTTGAGCCAAAGGCAGACGCCCAATGACTGAGCCACCCAGGCGCCCCTCTTTGTTTTTTATTAACAGAACTATTTTCCTTTCAAATAACCAAAAGAGTAATTTGCTATGGAGACATAAGGAATGCTGTACTATGAATAAACATTTTAAGAACTACTTAATAATCTACTTTGCTTTCTCCAGCACCAACTTTGATTTATTGCCTCTGGTGAACCCAAACTATACTAAAGAAAATTCAGTCACACTGTCATATTTAGAAAGACTAAAAAATCATACTGAACAGCTTCATAACACGTAAACCCTTTACAATAAAAAAAAATTAACACAATATACATTAGTTCAAAGTTAATTTTGATGTTTAATAGATTTTATCATCCTTCTATATCCTGCAAAATGGATTCACTGAAATTTTTAGTCCTTTCTGTAAATAGCTGCCATCTATTTAAAAAAAATCCAGACTCACAGAATAAATCTTGAAAGCTTTCTTAATGTTATTATATGCCTTTCAAAGGTAGAAAAATCATTCAAATGTGTTGACAAATGTACTCAATATACCAGGAAAAAGAAAAGGTCAGAAACCCAGAAAAATTATTTTTAATTTTTTAATAAACTCTGAAATTAGTCTATTGAAGTCTCAATTAATGTATCTCATCTATAATGAAAGCACAAAGCCTAAAATTAGAGAAATTAATGAGGCTAACAAATATTTCATATGAGATCTAATTGCTATGGATACTTTTGAAATCTTTTTATTTATTTATTTTTTAATGTTTTATTTATTTATTCATGAGAGTCAGAGAGAGAGAGAGAGAGAGAGGCAGAGGCAGAGGGAGAAGCAGGCTCCCCACCTAGCAGGGAGCCCGATGCGGGACTCCATCCAGGACCCTGGGATCATGACCTGAGCCGAAGGCAGACGCTTAACCATCTGAGCCACCCAGGCGCCCCTGAAATCTTTTTAAATGGCCCTGACAGAATGGCCTTAAAAGTTATGCTCAGCAACTGACCACATGCATTACATATTTGTAATGAAGGGGCACAAAATGCAATCACCTGCACTCTGATAACTTGGCTTCTTCCCAATCATTTTATGTTTTAGTTTCAGCTAACCCTAGACTACTGATTGTTTCCATATTGGTGTCTCACAACTGTAAGAAACAAAAAGGACAGAGAAACTCACACTAGAATATATTACTAAGTATCATTTGAGAACTGTGTCCTAGCCTAATTACTGTCATTGGTCCCTCCAAATTAAATTATTCCATATATTTCAGCCCTTTTCCTCTTGTTTCCATAAGCAAAGTCTAAGAAATTTTGTTTGGACCCTTATCTTACACCATATTCAAACAATGACTTAGGTAGACTAAAGAACTGAAACTATAAAACTCCTAGAAGAAAACAGGGGGTAAGCTTCAAGACACTGGATTTGGCAAGGATTTTTTTTTTGGCAAGGATTTCTTGACTACAACACCCAAATTATGAGCAACAAAAATAGACGACAGGACACACAATCACCTATATCACATCAAAGGACGCAATTAACAAAGTGAAAAAGCAACTTAAGGAACAGGCGAAATATCTGCAAATAATGTACCCAATAAATGGCTAATAACTAGACTACATAAAGAACTTGTACTAATCAACAACAAAAATCAAATAGTCCAATTAAAAAATGGGCCAGGACTTGAATAGACATTTCTCCAAAGATGATCTACAAATGGCCAACAAACATAATGAGAAGATGCTCAATATTACTAATCATCAGAGAAATGCAAATCAAAAGCATAATGAGTTATCACTTCATACCCATTAAGATGGCTATAATCAAAAGCTACAATCAAAAAATAGAATAACAAGTGCTGGTGAGGATGTGGAGAAATTGGAATCCTTGTATACCACTGGTGAGATTGTAAAATGGTGCAGCCTCTATGGAAAAGAGTATAAGGGTTCTAAATAAATTAAAAACAGAATGGCCATATGATCCAGCAATCCCACTTTTGGTATTTAAAGAACTAGAATCCAAAAGAGTTGAAAGCAGGTGTCAAAAAGATATTTGCACATCCATGTTCATTGCAGCACTATTTGTAATAGCCAAGAGGTAGAGGCAACCCAAATGCCCATCAACAGATGGACGAATAAGCGAAATGTGGTATATACATACAATGGAATATTATTAAGCCTTAAAAAGGAAGAAACCCTGCCACATACTATAATAACATGGATGAACCTTCAGGTCATTATACTAGTCAAATAAACCAGTTACAAAAAGACAAATACTGTATGATTCTACTTACATGAGGTATCTGAAGTAATCAAATACATAGAAACCAGGCCCTAAGGGAAAGAGGAAACAGGGAGCTTTATTTAGTGGGTATAGTCTTAGTTTTGTAAGATGAAAAAGTTCTGGACATCTGTTGTACAACAATATGAATATACTTAACACTACTGTACACTTAAAAATGGTTAGGATGATAAATTTTGTTACATATTTTTTACCATAATAAAAACTGAAGCAGTGTAAAATACTTTTGTTAAATAAAAAATCCTTATAAAAAAATGATAATTTATTTATTTTGACAGAGAGAGACAAAGCAAGAGAGGGAACACAAGCAGGGGTAGTGGGAGAGGGAGAAGCAGGCTTCCCGTGGAGCTGGGAACCCGATGCGGGGCTTGATCCCAGGACCCTGGGATCACGACCTGAACCAAGGCAGATGCTTAACGACTGAGCCACCCAGGAGCCCCTAAATTATTATTTTGATAAGATTCTTTTTACTTTACTTTAACCACTGAACATTTAGTGTCTGCATTGAGATATGCTTTAAGTGTAAAATATAACCAGATTCCAAATACTTAATAAGAAAAAAATGTCAAATACCTTACTTTTAGGTTGACTACATGTTAACACATTTTTAATATATTGCTTTAAATGAAATATAATGTTAAACTAAAAAACTATTGTGTTATTCTGTAAGAAGAATAACTAGAGGGGAATGTAGGGTCAGTGGAGCTTTGTTTTAAAGGTTTAAAAAGACTGGAGCATATTTAGGCTGGTACAGAAAAGCCAGCAGGGGGAAAGAGATTATAAACACAGATGGGAGTTAACTAACAAAAGCCTCTCCTGAGAGAGACTCTGAAGGATGGGATCAAGAGCACTGTGTGGAAAAGCTAGCCTTCCACAGATCTGAAACGTACATACATAAGCGGGGAAGGGCAGGGACAGAAACCTGAGAAATCAAATCAGATCATCATTAAGTGACCAGATTACTTACAGACTATAGAAGTGGGGCTTGGACAAAAGGGTTTGTCAGTAATGAAGGTCTGGAATAACCCATGAGTGATGAAGAACACGTTCCTTATTTAGGGCCAATAAGGCCTATATGATCTGGCCCTGCCTTCCTCCCTGGCCTGATCCCAGGCCTCTCTCTCCCAGCTCCCTCATTCATCTTCTCACCCTCCTTCAAAAGGCCATCCACCTGACTGCTTTTCTTTTCTTTTTCTTTTTTTTAAGAGTTTATTTATTTATTTGACGAAGAGAGAGCACACAAGCAGGGAGAGCAGCAGGCAGGGGGAGGAGGAGAAGCAGGCTCCCCGAGGAGCAGGGAGCCCGATGTGGGGCTCGATCCCAGGACCCTGGGATCATGACCTGAGCTGAAGGCAGATGCTTAATGGACTGAGCCACCCAGGCGCACCCCCCCCCCCACTTCTTCTTTTGAGGAGAGTTTACCTGTGTAACACCTACTCAGCCAGGTATCTGTTCAAAGACAACTTCCTCAGGGAAGGTTTCAGGGACACGGAGCTCCCCAGAGACTAGTTCCCCTCACCAGTGCTACCTCACAGAAATAGGGTATGCTCCACACAGGTCATTTTAAATGTTCTTGTAGCCACATGAAACAAAACAAGAAACAAGTGAATGAGTTAATATTCTATTTAACCCAATATACCCAGAATTTATCATCTTATTTCAACATGTAAATATAAAAATTGAGATATTTTGCCTTATGCTGATGCTAAATCTTCAGAATCTGATGTGTACTTCACACTTATAGCACATCTCAATTCAGACTAGCCTCATTTGCGGGCACCTGAGGGGCTCAGTCAATTAAGTGTCCGACTCCTGGTTTCAGCTCAGGTCATGGTCTCAGAGTCATGGGACTGAGCCCCAAGTCGAGCTTGAGTCCAGCCCCGAGTAGGGCTCCATGCTCAGCAAGGTGGCTGCTTGAGATGTTTTCCCTCTCCCTCTCCTCCTTCTGCCCCTCCCTTCCCTCGCGGTATACACTCCCTCTCTCTGAAATCAACCTATCAGTAAAATCTTAAAGAAAACCAACCAACAAGAAGACTAGCCTCATTTCAACAGCCACGTGTGACTACAGTATTGGACAACATAGCCCTATACTATTTCTCCAGAGCACTTTGTTACTATAGTGGGTTTTATTACTTGATGAACGTCTATCTCGCCGGGAATGTACGCACTATTAGGATACCCCAGCGTTCTTAGCTCAGTGTCAGAGCACTCCGTAGGTGCCACATAAACAAAACTGACTGGGGGAAATGGTAGGGAGGGATTGTTTGAGAGACAATTAATTACCTGCATCTAGGGCCTGGCCTTTCACTGGTGTTACCAAAGCAACTCTGGAGAAAAGGCAGAGTTAATCAGAACAGGGATATTATCTGGCAGACACAGCACAAAAACAAGTTCAAGAGAGGCAGAGGTACCAGTGAAAGCATATTCCAGGTGCTTAACAAGGGCTTCCAAACTGGATAGGGAAGACGACCTCGAGGCCAACAGATGTTAAAACAACAGGGAAGGGGAGGTGGGGTGGAATTAAGAGATGGGCAAGCTGTCTCTGTCAAGAAGAAGGGCACTGTAATAGAAAGTGTGGGTGGGAGAAAGCGGGAAGGACAGGGTAGGAAGCTGGGGTCAGAGAACTGGATATATAAACTCAGGATTTCTGATGTGAAAAATCTGGAGGCATGTTAAAATACAGTGGAAGTGAAGATCACTGGAGGTGAGCAAAGGTACTAGAAGTGAAAGGCATTAGTCACCCTGCTTGGAATGACTAACTCCTTGACTGAATGTCTTTTAAGATTTTCAGCTGTACAAAGGCAGAGACAGTCTTTCATGGTCCACACAGCCCAGTGTTGATCACATCAAGTATGCTTACACGAATACAATTCAAAGCTCAAACATTAAAATAATGTGGAAGAAAAGTGGCAATGGTCACAACAATGAAGATGTAAGTGAAGGACTTCAATTTATTTGTTCAATATTTATGTAGTTTGATTGAACAGTATTAAGAATTCTGAATGATGCATTAATTTTTTAGATTGGTAGCCAAACTCTTAATTTGGGGGGGGGGGAATAGGAGGGCGGAGGAAAGGGTATAAATATTTCCCAGACTTACTTTACTTTTATCTATAAAACAAAGTAATAGCCAACAGAACCTTTAGAAGCTTTATTATAGTCAAGTACACCTTATTTTTGTGAGAGATACAGGTCCTCATAACTTGGTTATAAACATTTCTTACAATGGCTCCTATTACACACTTTAGGGCAATTTGTTATTTAAAAGAACTCTAAGATTACTGTTTCAATAAAGAGAAAAAATTAAAACCTCATTTGTTTTACATATGGAAGTGGTATGCTTTTTAAGTGGACACATGACTGTTTATAGCATATTTATATATATATAAAAGCACATCTATACTTGTGTGTATATTGTATATAGTTTTACTGGCTTATTGCCTATTTCCTGCACTTTTTTTCTATTTCTCATTTCTCTTACCCAGTCCAATTTTGAGCAAAAATAATTTTTCCCCCAAATAATTTCTCCACTGAGGGATTCTGATTGTCAGAAGTAATAGTACTAAACCTCAAGGCTGGAAAGATAAAGGTGTAAGCTATGTTTAAACCCTCTGCCCAAAAGACTTCTACTATTTTTTCAGCTTTTCTAATCAAGCAAGACTTCCAGAGTTTTGCTAATAACCAAGAGAGGACAAAGTTATGACACAGCTATTGTCTGTTCAACTCTGAACCAAACAATAACCCTGCCTAAGTCTGTTCCTCCCACCACACCCCTCACAGCTGTCAAAGGAAAATGTGAAAAAGGAGGGAATCATGTAAATAATTACAGTAGTAGGTACTACAGTCACTGAATTGGAAGAGCCATAAATTCTATTATAATTGCTATATCTTCCTGTGGGTACATGAAGCGCTTTAGGCTTCCTTGCTGGCTCAATTCTCTTTTGTTTTCCCTCTGACCAACGACTGTTCCAAAGATTCAGAGAAATCTGTGAGCCAAGACTGATCAAAGCCAACGGATCCATTTCATTCATTCATGCATACATTACTATTTATGATTCTAAGCACTTGGGCATTTTTCAGTGAACAAAACTGATATGATCCCTGCTCACTTGAAGCATTCTCTCTAAAGAACAGATCCTACGATACCTGCTTAAAAGCATACTAACCAGATGACAATTTATTATCATGATGTATATTATGAGCACTTGCTTTTTAAAAAATTTCCTTCAAATTTTCATTAGACTAATATGCAAAATAGCCATTTCTTTTAACTCCAACCAACCAAAAACTTACATAATCACAGATTTTTCTACTGTTTTGTACTTTCAGGGGAAGAGACATAGGAGAGGAAAACTGAAAGGGATTTTCTTTGTAAATCTCCCAGGCCCCATAATGGAGTCCTTTTGGGCCTGGCCAAGTCTTCTACAACCATAATTCGACATGCAAGATTTGCATATATATATGTGTGTGTACGTACACACATATATACAACAGATATATGTATATGTGCGTGTATATATATACACACATATGTATGTATATATGTATATCTTGCATGTCAAATCATATATATTACACACACATATATACATACATATATCTTTTTTTCAACCAACACTGCTTCCTGAGTGGAACCTTCGAAACAAGACCTTTGACACTTCTAGAAACCTCGTTGGATTTTGATACAGGAAAGTGGGCCTGGAGTGAATTTTAGCCCCATAAGCACGGAAAAGTTAAATGACACTGCAGAGTAAAAAATAATTTAATTTGGGGGGCAATCAGAAAGGAAAGAAAGAGGAGGGGGAGAAGAGCACAGAGCCAACTAGATTATGAGCCCGGAGCTCCCCTGTGATGGTGGCCAAAATGCATTTTAAGGATAGAGATGCCTAATACTCAACATAAACACTGCTGGCACTCTTGTATTACAAACCTCTTCTTTGCCTCCCCTTTCCTCAAATCTTCCAAAAAGCTAACCACAGGGGCACCTGGGTGGCTCAGTCGGTTAATTGTCTGCCTTTGGCTTGGGTCATGATCCCAGGGTCCTGGGATCGAGACCCATGTCAGGCTCCCTCTTCTCCCTCTGCCCCTTCCCCTGCTTGTGTGCGCTCTCTCTCTCTCTCTCAAATAAATAAATAAAATCTTAAAAAAAAAAAAAAGCTAACAATATCCACAAAGGCTTTATACAAACTCTTTGTTTCCTCTTTTCCATTCTTTCCTAGCTCCTGCCCAGCACATCTATCCAACATCTTCATCACAGACATCTCAACCATTCATTAGCACTTCACTGGATTGGTCCAAAACTAATTATCTTCTCTTCCCCATTTCTACCTTCAGTTGCTTTTAATCACTCCTTTTCATATCTTCCAACATTCTACTAGCTCATTAATGTCATCATCACTAAAGGAACAACTAATATTTACTCAGTACTTGTAACATGCTAGGTACTCTGCCAAGGGCATTTTATGTGTAATTTCATTTGATCCTCAAACCCTACTAGACAGGTACTATGATCATTTCCTAAATATTAGGAAACCAAAGCTCAGGATGGTACTTCTACAGGTAAACAATGGAATTCAACTTTTGTACTGACTTCACAGCCAGTTTAACCAGTACACTCCAATGCCTCAAGTCAAAAAACCTAGGAATCATCCTCTCATTAATCATATCTAGTCACTTACCTAGTCTAACCAAATATACCTCCTCAATGCCATATCAGTCTACCTCCGCTGCCTTTACACAGAATAACAACCAGCATCTAGCAAGTCCTCACTATATGCCAAGCACTATTCTTTTTTGAAGATTTATTTATTTATCTGAGAAAGAGAGAGCGCGCGCACATGAGCAAGTTGAGAGAGGGGAAAAGGGAGAGAGAATCCTTAAGCAGACTCCCCACTAAGCACAGAGCCTGCCTCTGGGCCCCATCTCAGGACCCTGAGCAGAAACCGAGAGTCCGATGCTTAACCAACTGAGCCACCCAGGTGCCCCATGACATTCTATTTAAAATTAGCAGCTTTGGGGATGCCGGGGTGGGACAGTCGGTTGAGCATCTGGCTCTTGGTTTTGGCTCAGGTCATGATCTCAGGGTCATGAGATCTAGCCCAGCGCAAGCCTCCCTGCTCTGTTTCAAGTGGGCTTGGAATTCTCTCTCTCTCCCTCTCCCACTCCCACCTGCTCCCCACTCACCCTCTCTCTCTAAAATAAATAAAATCTTTTGAAAAAATTAAAATAAAATTAGCAGCTGTGTATCACTAAGTAGATAAAGTCCAATTTTCTTAGTTTGGCACACAAAATCCTCCATGTTTCTGTCCAAGTCAGTTCAACAAGTATTTGAGTGCCTACTGCAATCAAGGCAAAGTGCTAAGTGCTCTGAAATGAATAATACACCAACCCCTAACTACTATTCCAACCCCAAACAATGCGCCCCTCAGCCAGAGTAACTACATGTGGATCTCATAATGCAACACCCTACATGTTAGTCCCTTTGCCTAGAATGTACTGCGAAAATTCCACAGCAGTTTGAAGAGTTAAGTGCCTAGATGAGGTCCTCCCTAGCAAACTCCAGGCAG